GCCCAGGAGTTGGAGGTTGCTGTGAGCTGTAATGCCACGGCACTCTACCTAGGGGGACAGCCTGAGGCTTTGTCTCAAAAAAAAAAAAAAAAAAAGAGTTTTAGAATCGGCCTCTTCTCCATGTGATGCCCTGTACCACCTTGGAACTAACTCTGCAGAGAGTCAGAGTTAGGGATTACAGGCGTGAGCCACCGCGCCCAGCCTCAAGTGCTTTTTCACACGATGAAAAATGAGTTAAGAAAGTATCAAAAAAATCCTTAAATTTTATTAATGAAATTCCGATTTATCGGTAATCCTTCTATTAAAGACATAGGCTTTTTGGGATTTTTTTTTTTTTTTAAGCTAACTTTGGACGCTGTTACGACACTTCCTAGTTTCCACACGACGCAAGCACACTAACGTCACCAAGGCCCACCTCCCGGGCCCTAGCAACCGTTCTCTGGGAAAAAGCTAGGGACTTTGCTTCTACCAGCCCTTCGCCAAACTTCCGCGCGAGGGCGCCATCCCAGTCGCGGCTCAGCACGAGGTCTCTTCCAAGCTAAAAGCGCCGTCACAAAAAAAAGGGCGCTAATTACGCGCCTATCTTGCCTTATTAAATTACAGAAATTAGGTGAAAGAGAAACCGAGTAGGAGACAGTCCCTCTTTCTGCTCTCACGCTCCCAGGTTCCGGGAACCCCCCAGGAAACGGAAATGGCTTCTCCCTTGCCAGCGCGCGCGTCAGAATGCATCAACCGCCTCGCATGGGGCCTTTTGTTTGGGGCTGCCCTCGGCGTTGCCTGCAGAAATATTTAACAACTCTGTGATAAATAAATCCCGAAATTTTGCTTCATGTTTTTCAGTAAACCTTCTAGCAGGCACTGTAAAAACTCAAGCAAATAGAAGTCTGAGCTGTGAGGCCACTGCTGTACCGGTCGCCCTCTTCTCCAGGCCTGCGCCCTAGTCGACCTTCCAGCTTCCGCTGCCCCGCCCCAAGGGTCCTGTGTTCGGTCAGACCGCCGCCAGACAACTTCCTTCCTCTCTCCGGGCAAGATGGCGGGGGGTGAGGTTGGAGTGACTCTCGGTCAGCCGCACCTTTCGCGCCAGGATCTTGCCACTTTGGTGAGATTTTCCTTTAGGAGAGTGTGGAGTGAGGTCAGAAGTAGGGGTGACCGAGTCTCCTGGGAAGCGTTGCGATGAGTCAATGTTGGGCCGTCGGGAGCGTGAGTGAAAGAGGTAGCCCCGGAGTCTGGCGCCCTCAGCCACGTTTGTGCCGCCTGCTGTACCTTGGCCAACCGGCGTGCTCGGCGAAGGGGTGTATGATTATGAGAACTTGAGTTTCTGAATGATTCGGCTGTAAAGTGTTGGTGTTAAATGTCAAAGGTTTTAGCCTTTGAAGGTTTGGGAAGAGAGCTGTTTGCACTGTCCTCGGCGCTAAAGCCCTCAAGACTGGGGGCTTCCAGTTTCTAGATATCCCCTAATTGAGTGGGCGTGTAGTCTGTTGTGTAAGGAGTGTAACGATGAAAAGCTCTTATGGTAGCCGTATGAATACAAGATTACTTATACAGCAAAGATGCTTCCAGAATAGAAGAGATTTAGACAGATGGTGGTGACCTTTAGGTAGAAAATGTAAAGTCAGGAAAAGTTCTGGTTTGTGTTTGTGCAATGTTTCAAAATAAATATATTTCATTGCAGGATGTTACCAAGTTGACGCCACTTTCACATGAAGTTATCAGCAGACAAGCCACAATTAATATAGGTAAGACAAGAACATAACTCCAAATCTATCCAGGTTGTTACAAAAAAAAAAAAGAGAGAGAGAGAACTTAAGAGACCCAAACTTGCTTGATCTCCAGCATGTAATTTTAACTTCACCTTTTTTGTGCTTTAGGATTCTGATATTCAAGAAATAGATGTTGAGCCTTTGTGAGCAAAGCATCTGCTAGATCTTTTTGGGAAACAGAAAGAATGCTGCCCCGTCTAGCTTACAGACTTCGTGAGAAAAAAGAATAGAAACATATGAAAAGTTAATAGCATAAATTACTATGTAGTCATCCATAGCAGAAGTTTAAGGAAGAGATGAAAATGTGGCTGTACTTGCTGCACAGGATTATGGCAAGGGTAGAGTTTATGAAAGTTCTATTTGATGTATAAGCTTTGATTAAGTGTTTTCTTAATTGCCACCCAGAACTTTAGGGGAAAAGTTATATTAACTGTAAATTTTGGACATTTTGAGAGTCTGTACGAACGTCACAGTAAAACCTAGTTACAAGTAAGACTACCATGAGGCTTTTAAAAAGCTGTAAAATATGTGGTATCCTTGACAACATTGCAGTCAAACTGGATTTTCTTGTTTTTATGAATTCCTTTTTGTTGTGTCAGACTTCATTGTACTTAATTACTTTTACTCTAGAAATGCTGGAAATTGTCTTAATATACAAGATTTACATATATTTTGTATTGTCTTAATATACAAGATTTTTTTTTTTTTTTGAGACAGAGTCTCAAGCTGTCACCCTGGGTAGAGTGCTCTGGCGTCACAGCTCACAGCAACTCCAACTCCTGGGCTTAAGTGATTCTCTTGCCTCAGCCTCCCAAGTAGCTGGGACTACAGGAGCCCACCACAATGCCCGCCTATATTTTTTGGTTGCAGTTTGGCTGGGGCCAGGTTTGAACCCACCATCTTCGGTATATGGGGCCGGTGCCCTACTCACTGAGCCATAGGTGCTGCCCCACAAAGATTTTTTATTGAGTGTGTATTTTAAATGAAAGCAGTCTTTTCTGTTATTAGAAACATAAGATGAGGGCGGTGCCTGTGGCTCAAAGGAGTAGGGCTCTGGCTCCATATGCCAGAGGTGGCGGGTTCAAACCCAGCCCCAGCCAAAAAAACCCCCAAAAAACCCACATAAGATGAATAGCTTTCATTACACTGAGTGTGGTTTTAAAATAAGGTGGTTAGTTACATGAAAAGTTCTCTTTAGTCCTCTATGAGAACAAGTTTTTAGTAGGAAAGGACATGTAAAAGGAAAAAATTGAAGTCACTTGTTAGTTTTATGTAGGTATTTACATTGAGTTAGGGCTTTGGGTTTTCTACTCTTTAATTAAAAAAATTGGTGTAATTAAATGCACATGAGTTAATTTTTTGCACTTTGTCTCTAGGTACAATTGGTCACGTGGCTCATGGGAAATCTACAGTTGTCAAAGCTATTTCTGGAGTTCATACTGTCAGATTCAAAAATGAATTAGAAAGAAATATTACAATCAAGCTTGGGTATGCCAATGCTAAG